GAAGGATCCAGAGGTCTACTAAAACAGAACACCTGACATTGCCACGAACCCCGACCTTGGAGGACAAGTGGGCGTGACTCGCGAGGAAGGAAAAAACAAAACATATAATGCCTATAGGGTGCATAATGCTGATTCCCGTGTTGTTCGCTTGTCGCTGTTATGCCGCTTGAAGGTGCATTATTATGCTTGTTCCCGTGTTGTCCGTTTGACGCTGTGCCACTTTGTCTGGGCGTCTCCAACTTTCTTGGAGCCCTCATGGGCAGTCTTCGGGCCCTGGGGAGTCTCCGACCATCTCGGGGCCCTCTTAGGCAGTCTTGCGGCCCTCTTGGTGGCCTTTGGGAGGTTTCTGGGGACCTCTTGGAGGCTTCTTGGGGCCTCTTGCGGCCTCCTGGGGGGGGGGGGGGGCGGAGAGACCAAAAGGTCGGTCCCTGCCCCCCATCTGGGGCACCTCTTGGGGCGTTCCTGAGGCCTTCTTGTGCCGTCTTTGTGGCCTGTTGGACCGTCTTGGGGGCGTCTTGGGCAGTCTGGGCGCTCTCTTGGGGGCCTCTTCGGCAGTTTTGGGGCGATCTTTGAAGCCTCTTGGGCCCTCTTGGAGCGTCGGAAGCCGATCAGTCGAGAACGTGACAAACATTCGAAAACCGGAGGAAAAACGAATGAATTTTGACTCGTGGGGCTCTCTTGGAGGGCCTCTTGGAGGCCTTCCAGAGACATCTTGGAGGCTTCTTGGGCCATCTTGAGGCCATCTCGATCTTTCGACCATCTCGCGGACCATCTTGGGGCCGTCCGGGCCGCCCAGAAACGCGTCTGCCGAAAACGGAGCCGACAGCGGCAGACTTCCGTCAGCGATCCGCCCGTGGCCGGGGCCATGTCCCGGGGTTCCCCCCCCAGATCACCGAGTGATGGACGAAGGAGCGAGCTGTGCAGGAGGGAGGGAGGAAGGCTCCAGAGATCCATGGGAAAAACCTGATATTGCCACGAGCCCCGACCTTGGAGGGGAAGTGGGTATCACTTGCGCGGAGGTGAACTCAACAAGCTACCATGCGAACCACCTGCATGTGTAGTCCGCCGGCAAGGGTAAGGGAGGACAGAGCTCGCCGATGACGGGGTAAGCTGGTCACATGACCAAGCGACCCACGAGGTGAGCTCAGCACGCTGCCATGCGAGCCACCGTAGGACGCGTGTCGTGAAGACAGCTGCAGAGCTCTCCGGGGGTCAGCCTCTGGAGCCCTTCTCGGGGGTCCGTTGGGAGGCCCTCTGGGGCAGTCTTGGGGCCCTTTGGGGCGTTTCGGGGCTCTATCGGGCCGTCTTGGGCCGTCTTAGGGCCCTTGCTGGAGGGACCCAGAGATCCTTTGACAAAAATCAAGACGGAGGCTTTTCACCGTGTTCGGCCTCTAGAAGTCCTCGCTGGACCCCGGGACCGTCAACAAAGATCGGACTGGCTCCGGGGAATGGGTGGGGATTTCTGGGGACCGCGCATGGGAAACATCAAAACATCGCATATTCGGGGAGGCGGAGGGGGAAGACGACAACGACGACAAAATGCAAACTCAGACTCACAACGGACCCGCCTCAGTGGCAGTAGGACAGCAAGAAGGAACGGCAGAGGTAGAACGAGGTGCAGGAGGAGGGCACCACGAGGAGGAAAATGACGAGCAGGATGACCGATCTAGCAAGGTTTGAGCTTGAACCCGCTCATCCAGCAGGATGGGACAAGAGGAGTGGGAGGATGGCAGGAGTGAGGTTGAGGTGGGAATGAGAGGTAGGAGGGACGAGGCAGGGAAAGGAGAGGAGGGAAGGAGGAGGAAACCTGACTTGGGCGTGGGTCAGCGTCAATCCCTACCTCCCCTGCGAGGAGCAGTGGGGGGGAGGGAAGGGAACGAAGATGCAGCATGGGGAGGAAGGAGAGAACGACGTGGGCGGATGAAGAGGAGGGGGGGGGGGGGCTTGGCGCCTGCTTGCTGCTCACTTGGGCGCCGTGCCCGCGGAGAGCGACGGATGCGACAGAAGCCATGGGTGGAGAGGAGCCATGAGCAGCGGGGCGGTGGGGGTGGGGAGGGGCAAGGCTTCCATGTCCGCTGTCCACGGAGAGAGGAGTCGGGGGGGGCAAGAGAGGAGACAGCAGGGTTTTTTCACCGCGACCTCTGCGTGATAAACATCCTGCCACAAAACCGACACATGGGATTCACCTGGCCATTTGGGGTGCCCACCTTGGATAAACACACTCCAGGGTCGAGGTATCGGTTGGGAAGACACCACAGCCTGAAACACTTGCACTGACAGGCTGGACGTGCATGTACAAACAAACGAAACCACGTGAGCGACAAAAAGAACGGGCCGTACGCGAGATGCCAAAGCGACCGCACGCGGTGGCTTACGCAGGCCGCCAGCGCGGCACGCCACATCAGAAACAAGGGCGATTACGCGCGACCTTACGCGGAATGCTTACGCGCGAATGTCGGCGCAATCGGCTCCCTTCTTCTGCGCCACTTACATACCAATCCGCTTGCACGCTGGAGTGAACTACGCTAGCGGGAGGGCAGCAGCACCGCCCCCGCAGCAAGCACCCCCCCGTGCAAGCGAAGCCCCCACGTGCGCGCGCCCGAGGAGGAGGACTCGAACGGGGAAGGACTGCTTGGAAGACATCCAGGACTGCTTACAGCCATCGTGCTACCATGAGGAGAGCACAATAAGAGACGAAGGGGCTTTGCTGGCCACGGCGGGCTTAGGCCACAAGTAGGCTCCACGACATGAATGTAAGGCACAGCCTGGAAACCCAAGCCCTTCCCGAACCCAAAGCGGTACGTATTTCAGCGTCCTGGCTGCACGGAGATGGCATTGTATAAGGGGCCATTGGACGAGGAATCCAGGGCCTGGCAGCCGGTCCAAGTCCACTCGTGGATTGGCCGTGGATATCACCGCCGCCCTCCTTGGATGGAGGCTGACACGCCCACTCCCAAGGCATGAGCAGGTCCTGCCACGCTTACCTCCACAGAGGCAACTCCCTGGACTACACCTACCTCCACTATTCCAACTACATCCCTACATCCCTCTCGACTGCCCCCACTGAGGCTCCTCAAGGCTCACCTAACCTACCCATCCCGCGCCCCTTCTTTCTGTGAGACCCCTCCCCCACCTTGCGCTCACTAACCTTCTCCACATGACCCACGCACAGCCTGGACGAGGGCGGCGTCACGGGTGGGACACAGGTAAGGGGGAAACCCGAAGGGCCATGCTCTGCACAGGCCGCCGTGGGGGGGTACAGCCCCCATGGCGTCCGTGGGCCAAGTGGCGTACAACTGAAAGCCACGCCGAGGGGGCCCTCACCCTTCCCTCAGGGGATGGGGGTCCCGCTCGGGCCACCCCTCCACCTACATGCTCGCTTTTTCCCACCTCTTGCACTCACCCCACTCGCAACGACTGCAGCCACCGCTCAGGGCGCCCACCTCCTTTGTCTTCCCCGCGCCGCTGTGTCCGCTCCCTCCCCCGCTTACACCGCCCACTCCGCTGCGCCGCGCCGCTGAGCACCTTTGCACCTCGCACCCCCTCCTCACCTTAGCATGTGGTAGATGCGCTGGAGGAATAGGAGGCCCACACTCCAGGAGAGGCGAGGCGAGGTGGGTTTCAGCTCCCCCCGGGCCAAACTCGGGCCCCGCCTGCACGGGCACTGCTCCGCCACAAAACGCCTCGCCTTCCCTCCCTCCCCTGCGGCGCATTCCGTCACGTATCTTCGTCCTCGCCGTTCGGCAGCCCTCTCTCTACCTTTCTCCCTGCCCTCTCTATATATCCAGAAGGCTCCCTGTCATCTTCCGCGTGTTCTGTTGCCCCCTCCCCCTCTGGGGGGTCGAGGGCGGCTGCCGTTAATTACGGGAAGAAAAAACGCCCGCAAGTCGAAGGTCGAAGGGGGAGAGGGAGGAGGGGCAGGAGGGGCAGGAGGAGGAGGAGGAGGAGGAGGAGGAGGCCTCCCGCCGCCGCTGCCGAGGCCAGAGGACGCCTTTTTTCGGGGCGCCGCGCGCCCGAGCAAGCTTCAGAGAAGGTGCACCGGCACAGATGATTGGACAGCGGGCGGAGGCGAGCCAGACGACCAGCTGCACAACACTGAGTCGAGGGTACAACTAAACGCGCGAGGGAGGGAGGGCTGGGAGCGCAACAAAGAGACCTCAAATGGCAATGGAATGGCAAAGGAATGCTGCACGGATCCATGGCCATGAAATGCGGCCTCTCCTGCTGCGACGTCTGGCAATCTACAACGAAGTAGTGGGCATGCCTCCCGCCGCCGCTGCCGAGGCCAGAGGACGCCTTTTTTCGGGGCGCCGCGCGCCCGAGCAAGCTTCAGAGAAGGTGCACCGGCACAGATGATTGGACAGCGGGCGGAGGCGAGCCAGACGACCAGCTGCACAACACTGAGTCGAGGGTACAACTAAACGCAAACCTGCCAAACAATCCTTGGTCATCTCGATAAAACTGCTGAATTATTCACCGTTAAACAAAAAGACTGGTCAATGCAATCGTCTTAGAACTGCCATGAGCGTGATCGAAGCAACGAGCGAGGGCCTTGCACAAAGCAGGAGGATACTGCTGAGCGGCTTTCGTCTTAAAGCCGCCTCCCTGAGCGAGGCCATGAATTGATGTGTGCTTTTTTCCCGTGCGAGAGCAGAGCTTGCCATGACACTCGCGAGCAACAGACTGCAGAAATACGCGATCCCCTAAAATCTTGGTCGGCTTCTTCCACGGCGTCCCCCATTGGCACATGTCCGTATACACGAGCTGGCTAGTACTCCATGCGGCAGCTTTTTTGAGACGAGGCAGCAGCCAGAGACGCGATCGTGCAGGATTCTCCAGCGCCACTGGGCGCTGGAGCAGGTGCATCAACTCAAAAATACTGCAACAGAAACCGGCAAGAATATTACCAATTCGAATGGCTTGCACATCGGCAGGATGGGCGACCTCAGGAAGCCCCATCAGATGCTGGTCAGATCGGAGCCGCGAAGGGAGAATTGGTCCAGCTTGACCCAGCTCTCGCAGCGGCCCTGTGTCCCTGGCCCTCGTCCACGTCTGGCACGGCGTCCCCATGAAGACTCCCCAGACCTGTCCGGCCAGGATCCAGCCTCTCACGAGCTTCTGGGCCTTCCTTGCCGAAAGGTCCCAGGCAGGCCCACGGCAGATGTCCCACTCGAGCACGACGAAGCCCCTCTCGCGAAGCGCCCGCGAGAGCCCGCCATGCCCGCTGAACAGCTCTAGAAAGACCTGCGGCTGGACCAGGCGGGCACCCCGGCTGGCCAAGGCGCGAGCGAAGGCCTCGCGAGGCAAGTCGGCAGCTGCGTCGCCGCCTCGACCGCCCTCGCGCGGACGCCCGGGGACAGCCGCTGCAGCTGCTCGCCCACGCGCCCCTCCTTCTGGTAGCGCCTCACGCTGGAGTCGCAGTGCCAGCGACCTCTCAGCTTGATCTCCTGCAGCGTCCGCAGCTGGCGCGCTCGATCGTGGCTGGGCCCGCTGTGTCGCAGCATATACAGCTCCGGGCCCAGAGCCTGGACCCCTGCGCGCCCCGCCGCCTCCCGAAACTGGACCACCAGGTCGGCGTGCCGGAATGCGAACAGCGGCTGCCCGGCCGGCGTCTCCCTCTTGAGGTAGGCGAGCACGGGCACGAGGAAGTGGAACAGCGGCAGATCGAACACCACGGTCTCGTCGAACTCCCTTGTCTTGCTGCTGATCTCCTCCTCGCTCGGGTGCAGCACGATCGCCCAGTTCGCCACGTGGGCCCCCGGCACAGGCGGCACGAGCATCTCGGCGGTAACCCGCTGCAGCTCGCTGGGGCGCAGGTAGCAGTGGAAGGTGATGATCGTCCAAGCCGCCATCGCCCAGAAGCCGGTCAGCAGCAGCTCCAGCGCGATCAGCGCGACGACCTCCCACGGCAGCGGCAGCCGCGCCCGCCCAGGGGCGAGCCGCTTCCAGCCCTTCAAGGCCTGCGCCGAGCGCGGAAGGGAGAGCCCTCCCGACTTCGCGAACTGCGGCCGGAAAAACTTCACCGCCGCTAGCCCCTTGGTGCCCCTCTGCGCCAGCTCCCCGAACGAGTACTCCTGGTCCATCCAGCTGGCGACCACGAAGTCCGTCTCGTCGTCGCCCGGCTCCGCCTGCAGGGAGCCCGCCGGACGCAGCCGCAGCCACATGCGAAGGATGTCCTGCCACAGACCGTCGTACTGGGCCGCGGTCTTCGGAGTCACCGACGCCCGCTGCAGCAGCGATCCAGGGCCTCGGAGCGCCGTCCGACGAGCAGCAGCAGTAGCTCCCTGCCCGCGCCTCGCAGCTCGCGCCATCTTGCGGCTCCGGGCCGCGGGTGGCGGCGGCGCCCGCTGCTCCTGGCGCGACTGGGCCGCGACAGCACTCAGGTGCCGCCCCCTCCGAGGCTGAGGCCGCTCGGCCAGCGGACCGCCTCGCCGCAGGGCGTGCGGGCCGGCGGGCGCCCCGCAGAGCGCCGACGGCAGGCTCGCGGACGGCCAGCTCGGCGAGCTCGAGGCCGGCGCTGCGGCAGTCGGCCTGCTGGCTGCTGCGCCCGGCGTCCCGGACGGCCCACTGCTCGAAGCCCTCGGCAGTGTCCGCCGCGGCGCTGTCGAGCCAAACCCCGAGGGGGATGTGGCGGCGCGACGGCGCATCGGCGACGTTCCGTTCAGACGGAATCCAGCGCACCGAGGCCTGCACCGCGCCCGCCAGGCACCAGGCGGCCCATTGCCGGGCGACGCGGAGGACGCCCCCAGCTGAGGAGCGGCCCTTCTCCATAGCACACACGAGCCCCATGTTATCGCAAAGGAAGAGGATACGCTTACCGAAAGACTTCGAGTCGCGAAGTGCGTGCCTAAGAGAATGAACGAGCGCCCGACCTTCGAGGACGATGATCTTCTCGGACCGGGCCCACCCTCCGCTCGACACGACCTGCCACCTCCCCCCGTACAGTTCCTCCTCCACCTCTGGGACCTTCCACAAGTTACCCTCTGGATCCTCCACCGCCACCTCCGGCGACGCGACGGGCCCCACCTCCGGCGACACGACGAACTCGGCGATCGGCTCGACCTTCGCGGTGTCGGCGGTCGGCGGGTCGCTCTGCTCGAAGAGGCAGTCGCGAGGTCGCGAAGCAGTTGCTCGTCGAAATCGCCACCTCTCCCCGTACCTCCCAGCACCACGAATTGCTCCCAGGCCGGCCTCCTTCTGGCACGCGCCCCTCCCCTCCTCGCTAGCGTCGCTCGCGTAGACCCTGGGAGACCAGGTGGCCCGGAGATCAGCCCAGGCCAGGGGGATCAGGGAGGCGGCCCAACGAAGCTCACGGCGGACAGACGGCGGCAGCTTCATCACCCGATCGAAGTACTTCCTCGAGAAGGCATACACATAACTAAATACGGCCAAGAGCGGGCGCCTCGACATAGCAATGAACGCGAAGTGACCAGCAATCTTCCCTACTTGTCGTCCCGAAGCGTGCCCACGAGCAAGCAAACCCTGGATCCCAAGACGAAGCCTCCAAGCACGACGACTCTTCGGCCTCACAGCTCCACGCTCTCCGTCGAAGACCCAACCCAGCTGCTCAGACACAGAGGCGGGAAGATCAGGATCGTGAAGAGGGAGCCCCGCGCTGCTCAAGGCCTCTTGGGCCGACCTCAGGAGGGCCGCAGGCCTGTCAGGATTCACACCAAAGGAAATGAAATTGTCAACATAGGCTGTGTAGGCCCCGTCCTGGATGGGAGGCGTCGGCATACCATCGACCACTTCGGGAACGTTCTCAAACCCTCCCTTCTGGAGTAAGATATTTCTGTGCACTTTCTGGCAAAAGTCGAGCGCATGCGTCCAGCCCATAGGCAAAACGGCCAAGCACGGGCGCACCCAAGCGCGGCCTGGAACTGGACGCCCGCCCAGCTCACGCACTCCGAGCTGCGCTGCCCGAAGCCGCGGGAGCGCGAAGAGGTGCCGGAGCTCCGGCGGCAGGCCCATGTTGTAGAAGGCGTCCGCTATGTCGACTCCCGCCGTCCACAGCACCTCGCCCGGCGCCAGCTCGATGGAGCTGAAGCTGCCCCCGGACGCCAAGCTGGTCTTGTCGGGCTCCGCGAACCTGAAGTTGCTGCCCCTGCAATCGATCACCAGGCGCTGGCGACCATCCTTCTTCCAAACGGTGAATAGACCGACTTCCTCAAAATTGCCCTCATCGACCCTGAACTCCAGCATGCCACCGTCCCTCATCCTCTCGACGAAGGCCAGGTAGGCCGCGGGCTGCCGCAGCACTGGATCCAGGTAAGGGCGTGCGAAGCCAGCCTCCTTCTTAAAAATCTCGGCGCTTTGAATTGGCAAAACCTTCGAAGTGATGAACCTTCGCACGATGTCTGGACCGTCGTCTCCCAACAACTGGCTCAGGGGCACAGGCGTACCGCCCACAGCTGGCAGAGACACGAGGTCGTGCGCGAAGGGGGCCACCGTGACGGGCTCGCCGTCGGAGTAGCCGGCGCCAACCTGGAGCTCCCGGAGGGCCACCTCGGTCGACAAGTCTGGAGGAATGGAGCCCATCGCCGCACAGCTATCGGCGAGATGCTCCAGGCAAAGCTGCTGCATCCTGTTGGGCTCCTGGCCAGCACGGCGCGGCGGGTCATCAGAGCCGGCATCCAGCTGGTTGAGCGCCACTACTAGCTCGGCCACGAGCTCACCCTGCAGCGTCCTGTTGGCGCGGCGACGCCGCGATGCGCGACCGCCGCCGTCGCCGGCAGCAGCCTGCGCGCGACACCAGTCAGGGACTGGCAAAGGCAGGAGCGACCGCTGCATGTGGTCGTCGCCTCCGCCCACCACCTCTTCTGCATTGCCCCCGGGTCGAGGCAGTCCCGGGGGCGGGCCCAGCATCATGACTTCGGGGGAGGAGCGTCCCGGCCGCCCTTGTTGGCCTTCTGCTCCTCCCTCAGCTTCCTCGCGTTCTTCTTGATGCTGTGGATCCGCTCCAGCTCCTTCGACACCGAATCGAGCAGCTCGGGGCGCACCATCGAGGGGGACCTCGAGCCTCCCATGAATGCGAAGGCCTCCTCCAAGGGCATCCGCATGTTGTGCTGCTGCTGCTCCGCGCTCCTGTCGTCCCAGTAGTGCTCGATGAGCTGGAGCTTCCTGTAGCCGAGCTCCGCGCTCGCCAAGTTGTAGACGTCCAGGTGGTCGGCCGAGCCCATGGCCTCGATCATCTTGGAGATCGTCTCGTGCATGTCCACCCCGAAGTCGGTTGGGTTCAGCTTGCGCTTTGACTTCCACATCTCATGATGGAGGACTGGGCCCCCCTCCTTCACCTGGTACTTGGCACACCACTGCGCCGTCCTCGGCGGAGCTACGCCAAACCCCGGGACGGTCTCCTCGCGGCAGAGCTGCACCACCTCGCGCCACTCCCGAGAGTTGCCGCCTGGCTGCCCGGCTCCTGGCGGGATCTCGAGCGTGCGCGCGTCGCTCCCGCGGTACTCCTGCGTGAACCACGGGATCTCGCTGTCCTGCAGCAGCACCGCGCTGGCTCCGGCGCCGCCGGCGAGCGTGAGAAGCCCGCGGCGCCCCGCGCGGCCCACGAGGGTCGCTCCGCCCGGCACCCCGACGGCCACCTTCGCGCCGAACGTCACGGCGCCGTCGACGTCCTCGGCGGCCACCCAGTGCCAGCCTGGCGCGGGCTCCCCGCTCGGCTGCGGCGCAACCGCCGCGGTGTCTGGCACCGCCGGCGCCCGACCCGCTGGAGCAGCGGCCGCCCCGGGGGCGGGGGCCACGGCGGCTGGGGCCGCGGCTGCCGGCGCTGGCGCGGCCGCGGCCGCCGGTGGGGCCGGCGGGGCCGCCCCAGGAAGCGCCAGCACGCCTGGGACCGCTGCCGCGGGGTAAGCTCCGGCCACGCCGCCCGGCGGGGGGCCCACGATCGCCGGGTCCGCCAGCGGTATGCTGCCCGCCGGCGCGCCTGCACAGTTCACCGCGGACAGCGTGAGGAGGAAGGGCCCAGCGGGCATCGGCCCGTGCCCCAGCGCTGCCCCGCGGCGGAGGGCGCTCCAGATCTCGGCCGCCGTGGGCAGGCGGCGAAACCTGTAGACCCGGTTCTCCGGGATGCCTCCAGCCCTGCCGCCCTGCCCGTGCACGAAGTGGATCTCCATCACGTCCGCGTCTGGGTTCGTGGTCTCGCCGTAATCGTCGAAGTCCGGGGTCATCACGTACCCTGAGCGAAATATGTCCAGTCGCTCATGATACAGAGCGGGGCCTCCCACTCGATACCTGGTCAGGTGGAAGCCTCCAGCCAACGGCCCAGCAGCCATCTTCAATAGGCGGCGGCACCCGGCGTCCTGCGGAAGGCCTTTGCCTGCTCCAGCGCGGGGTGCGCGAGGTCGTCGCCCGCCGGCGCGCTGTCCGCCTCCACGGGCGCCGCGGCGGGCGCCGCAAGCGCCCTCGGGCGAGGCCGCAAAGCCCACGAGACGGCCGCGGCCCCGAGCACGGCGCCCAGGAGCAGCGAGAGGCCTGCCACCCAGGCCAGCTGGGACCCGGGGCACCCCGGGGTGGCGGCGGCCGCCAGGGTGCCCTCGCCGCTGGGGCACGTGCACTGCAGCGCTGGGCAGTGCAAGGCCGGACTGCACCAGCAATCCGGGCAGTCGGCCACCGAGGCCCGGACGACGAAGGCGGTGGTCAGCGCCTGCCCCACGTCGTGGAGCAGCCTCGCCAGCCCGGCCTCCATCCCCCGGCAAGGTCTCAGCGCAACAAAGAGACCTCAAATGGCAATGGAATGGCAAAGGAATGCTGCACGGATCCATGGCCATGAAATGCGGCCTCTCCTGCTGTGACGTCTGGCAATCTACAACGAAGTAGTGGGCAGGAGGAGGAGGAGGAGGAGGAGGGGGAGGTGGGGGAGGAGGAGGAGCAGGAGATAGGGGGGGGGAGGAGGGAAGGAGGACGAGAAGGGAGAGGAGGAGATGGTGGAGGAGGAGGAGGAGGAGGAGGAGAAAGAGGAGGAGGAGGCACAGCGTCGGGCCGCGGGTTCTCCCTAGGAGGAGGAGGAGGAGGAGGAGGAGGAGGAGGAGGAGGAGGAGGGGGAGGTGGGGGAGGAGGAGGAGCAGGAGGAGGAGGAGGGGGAGAGGGAGGAGGGCAAGCTAGGTGCGCTCGCGTCATATCTGACGTCCTACCCCTCCCTCCCATCCCTTACCATGGCGTAGATCTCCTCCGTATTCGCACAGTCGGATGTCGTAGAAGGGCATAGCATTACATGGCATAGCATGTTGAAGATCAACGCGTAGCCTAACATCATAGCATGGCGTGGCGACGCCCGGGCGGGGGGCTTCTGCGGCACAAGAAATCAACGAATCGACACCGAATGTGTGATCACTTCCGATGGTTGCGTCGGGGGGGGGGCATTTTCTAAATTTTTGGCCCTATTTGGAAGGACCGACAACCATGCCGTGGCATGGCGCTGGAAATACTGACGCCAGCGCTGCAGCGGGAGCACGATTCGGAACGAGCGGAAGCGCGGAAATGAGGCCAGCGCTGCAGCTGGAGCGCGATATCGGAACGGGCGGTAGCCCGAAATTGAGGCCAGCGCATCAGCGACAGCAGCATTTGAAAACAAACCCAAGCGAAAACCCAACTCCCGGGAACCCTGCGTGTGAAAAACCAGCACGCGGAGGGGGGCCGGACGTCACCAAGGGAGAGAGGAGAGTTGTATGAATTATTCATATTGTGTAAGTGTGAAGCTGGAGGAGGAGCTGGAGGAGGAGGAGGAGGAGGAGGAGGAGGAGCTGGTGGAGGAGGAGGAGGAGGAGGAGGAGGAGGAGGAGGAGGAGGAGGAGGGGACCGCGGTGACCGCGGCGGGGGGCCGCGGCTCCGGCACAGCAGCGTCTGCAGGAGCCGCGCGGCCTCCGAGGGCCGGTCGGCCTCGGGGCTGAACGCGTGGGCGTCGTTCACCAGCGTGAGGCACCTCGGCGACGGGCACTTCGCTGCACACGACGCAGCCAAGATGATGATACAATCGGGTGAGGATGAACCGAGAATCTCTGAAGCCCGGCGGCTTTGGAGGATATGTCGAGCGCCGCGGCCTTCTCAGAGCGACCCAGAACGCCCTGAGAGCGTGCCGTAACGCTCTGGAACGGAGTTATCCTCGACCCAGCCCCGTCCGATCTTTACCATCGCGAAGGAGCCCAGCGGCAAGGTGAGGAAGCGGCCGACGGCGACGACAAAGGTGACAGACAGGGAGGCGGAGACGGGGAGACAGAGCGGCATTTGGAACCAGTGGAACGACGCGCGTTTACAAGAGATTGCGCCCGGAAGTGTAGTCGCCGCGGAGGCGGTGTGCACTTTCCAGTCTCGCCTCGAAGCAGTTTCACAACCACTTTGCAGCGTAGCACGCCGCCTGGTCCGTGCTTCTGTCGCCGCGAACCGCCGATCGCCGATCGTCCACAGAACTTTTAAAGCGCGGCGGCCATTCTGCCTCGCCGCAGCTCTACCTAGGCGACGGGCACACCCTGGCATCCCCTCGCAGTGAAACAAAGGACACAACCATGAGGATGATGATGTCCATCGGAGCGACGAAAAAAAAGTCCCACGCTAGATGGCGTTGAAATAACCGAGAACCCACGATAATAAAGTCCCCCCCTTAAGTCGTTTGAGTTTTTTATCCTCGGCCTCGACGGTTTTCAAATAGAGGCGGAGGGCGCGGAGGCCGAACTTCGTTATCACGGGGAAAGTTCGCCATCGAGGTTACTTCCTTCATATGTTGAGATAACAACATCAAGCGAAGCGAACACGTTTTTTCAGGATCTCTCCTCCGCCTCCTCCTCCTGCTCTTCTTTTGTTTCTCTATATATATATATATATTTCTCCTTCTTCTCGCCCCCTGGCGCCCTGAACTTGTTTATCGCTGTGGTTGATAATCCTGGGAAAACGAGGCGCATGAGCTACCCTAAACGAGCAGATGAAAATTTTAATTTCCATCAAGCGCTTACAAATTAAACCTAATCAGTTTTGAACTTTGGATTTTCGCTTCCTCCTTCTCCTCTCCTCTCTCCTCCGCCTCCTCCTCCTGCTCTTCTTTTATGTCTCTCTATATCTCTTTTTATTTTTCCTTATTCTCGCCCCCTGGCGCCCTGAACTTGTTTATCGATGTGGTTGATTATCCTGGGAAAACGAGGCGCATGAGCTACCCTACACGAGCAGATGAAAAGTTTAATGTTCATCAAGCGTTTACAAATTAAATCTAATAAGTTTTGAACTTTGGATTTTCGCTTCCTCCTTCTCCTCTCCTCTCTTCTCCTCCTGCTCTTCCTCTTGTCCTTATACATATATATAATTCAAGATGTCGCAAGCGAAACAGACAAATATTTCGAGGATGTCTCAAGCGGAACCAGCAATTCGCTGAGGATGTCTCAACCGAGACAAATCATTGTTGAGGATGTATCATACAGGACCAAAGACCAAGGATCCTCAAGATATCTTTGGCTTTTTCCTTTTGATATCTCTTTATGCTGGCTCTGGCGGGCAACTTTTATTATCTCCCCGAAAACCCCGAACTTTATTATCTCTGGGGGTTTATTCTCGTGGGTTCGGGGTTAGCGGCCTCGGGGACGGACGCACTTCGGTGGCAACGAATGGGACCCTCCCATGCCATCTTGCTGGCTCTTGCGGATCGACGCTGCTCGAAGCTAGTCGACGCTAGATCGACGTGAAACCGACGCTAATCGACGCGAAACCGGCGCTTTCTCAGCGATGACCAGTCTGACCAGACGCCAGCGCACGCTAATGTACTCTAGCGACGGAATTGCGAGAACATATGAGGCTCCCATAGTCTGCTGCCGAAACGCACCCTGACACCCCCTCGCTGTGAGACAACTCATGACGATGAGGATGCTCATGTCCGCGTGTCTGTGCTGAAGGTGATTGACTGATGATGGCGGCAACGGCGCCGATTGGCGATGACGATGGTGGCGATGTGGCGCTGATGAGGGTGCTGGTGGGGAAGTCAGGCCAATGCCGGGATTTGCTGGGCACGGGATCGGCTTGCACTCGCGGAGGTTTATGGTAGCATTCGGCCTCTGGGGGCCCTCGCTGGGCCGCGGGGCTGTCAACAGAAGGCCCAGGATGAAACGCCAGTCCCGAGGGAGAGGTCCAAGACCTCTGGGGAGCCACGCTGTGAAAAAAACACGACTGTCAGATGTCTGAGCACACCCGTCCACCTGAGAGATGTTTCTATCCCGTCGTTTTCCCTCCACGTCGGCCTCCTGCAGGAGGCCTGTTTCGGGCCCCTAGGCCATCAAACATGTACCCGGGGCGAAAAGCTGTGCCCAGGGAAGTGGTCCAGACCTGTGGGTTCACGGATTTAGCGAGATTATATCGTCCTATGTCTGAGTACAGGCAGAAGCCGCGCCCAGACGGCGCACTGGCATGGAACATTGAGGGCAGGCGGCAGCGCCTCTGGTCACACGCAGAGGAGAGAAGTCCTCGACTGCGCTGCAGGCGGCGCGGTTGCAGACCATGGGACAACTTTGTGCCCAATGGGGGGGCGGCGCGCTGTCCTGGGAGAGGGGGCCACTACTCTGGCTTTCATGATGAAGCGCGGGGGGGGGGTACATTCTGGGGGGATCCAATTTGAGCTGTCTTGGAGGCTTCGGGGGTGTCTGGGCAAAAGGCCACCCTTTCATGGCTGGTCTGGAAGGGGTCTGAGATTGCTCCTCCGGGAGGGTTGCGACCCCTCCCCCCTTCCCCCACCCCCCACCACACCACACACATACACACATACACACAAACACACACAGACAGACAGACACACACAGACACACACACACACACACACTCACACATATATACAAACTGACACACACACATGTATATCTATACCTATACGACCACCCTTCGGGTGATAAGGAGGTTCGAAGGGGGGAATCAACGTCTCACTCGATCGGCCTCACTATCGATCTCAGTATCGATCTCACTATCGGTCTCGCTCGATCGATCTCACTCGATCGATCTCACAATCGATCTCACTCGATCTATCTCGGTCGATCGATCTAACAATTGATCTCACAATCGATCTCACAATCGATCACACAATCGATCTCACATTCGGTCTCACTATCGATCTCACTATCGATATCACAATCGCTCTCACAATCAACGTCATCATCATCATCATCATCATCATCACCATCATCATCAACATCATCAACATCAACATCATCACCAACATCGTCACCATCATGAGGGCACCGTCATCATCATCAGCATCATAAACATCATCATCAACGTCAGCATCACCATCGGGACAACATCATCATCATCACCATCATCATCTCATCATCAACATCATCATCATCATCGGGACACAGTCATCGTCATCATCATCAGCAGCATCATCATAATCATCATCATAATCGAAACACCATCATGATCACCATCGTTCTCATCATCAACATTTTCATCAACATCGTCATCATCCTCGGGACACTATCATCATCATGATCATCGCGTCATCATCATCGACATCATGATCATCATCAACAACATCATCATCATTGGGGAACCATCATCATCATGAGCAACATCATCATCAACATCGTCATTCACATTATTACCATCATCGGGACACCATCAGCATCACCATCATCATCATCGCCTTCATCATCATCAGCATCATCATCGGGACACCATAATCATCATCAACATCATCATCGACATGATTATCGACGGGACACCATTTCCATCAACATCATCATCACCAACATCATCGGAATCATCATCATCATCATCATCATCGTCATCATCATCGGGACACCATCATCGTCATCATCATCCACATAATCATCATGAGCATTATCATCCTCATCATCGGGACACAATCATCATCATCGACACCATCATCAACATCATCATCTTCATCGGGACACCATCATCATCATCTCATCATCATCATCATCATCATCATCATCATCATCATCTTCATCATCATCATCATCATCATCATCATCTCATCATCATCATCATCATCATCATCATCATCATCATCATCATCATCATCATCCTCGCGGGACACCGCGGGACACCGGCGGGACACCGCGGGACACCGCGGGACACCGCGGGACACCGCGGGACACCGCGGGACACCGGCGGGACACCGCGGGCCACCGGCCGCCCGGAAGGGAGACATTTGGTCCGGCCGCGCCTCAGCCACACGGGACACCAGCGGGACACCGGCGGGACACCGCGGGCCACCGGCCGCCCGGAAGGGAGACATTTGGTCCGGCCGCGCCTCAGCCACAGGAGACTTTCTCTCGCCCGCCCACGCAGCTTCGCCTCGCCCGCACGGCACGCACGAACACGAAACCGAACTCGATTTCCCGGTAGGGGGGCTCTCCGTTCCACTTCGATCTCACCCCCCAACCTCCGATGTACACACACTTCGTATAAAACGATTACAACAATAAACGTATTCATGTTATTGCTCGTATGACTAGTATGTTGTTCATTGGTGGTAATGTTTTCACTGTTATTAGGTTAAAAGTATTGTCACGAGTGTTACTACTGATATTGCTGGTCTTACGATTACAATAGCATAATAAAACTAATCCAGAGTTAACGTGATATTGCATTAACTGTTGCTAGCATTCGAATGATTATTCGTGTCAGTACGATCAGATCTATCATGCTTACATCTTCGTAGTATTAGAAGTAGTGGTAGTCGTCGTAGTAGTAGTAGTAGCAGTAGTAGTAGTAGTAGTAGTAGTAGTAGTAGTAGTAGTGGTAGTAGTAGTAGTAGTAGTAGTAGTAGTAGCAGTAGCAGTAGCAGTAGCAGTAGCAGTAGCAGTAGTAGTAGTAGTACTAGTAGTCCTAGTAGTCGTAGTCGTAGTCGTAGTCGTAGTCGTAGTAGTAGCCGTAGTAGTAGTAGTAGCAGTAGTAGTAGTAGTAGCGTAGTAGTAGTAGTGTAGTGTAGTAGTAGTCGTAGTAGTAGTAGTAGTAGTAGTAGTAGTAGTAGTAGTAGTAGTAGTAGTAGTAGTAGTAGTAGTAGTGGTACCCAGATTGGTATTCGGATCATGAGTAATAAGGCCATACTGAATCCGCCGACCCTGTCGGCGTGTGGAATGGGTTGTTCTTCTCGTCCGTGCCTCCTTCCCTTTTCCACCTTCTCCGTCTCCTTCTCGTTCGTCTCCCCCTCCTCCTCCTCCTCCTCCTCCTCCTCCTCCTCCTCCTCCTCCTCCTCCTCCTCCTCCATCTCTTCCTCCTGCGTAGAAAGTAAATTGACTCGAATGGTTTCCCCTTCCCTTTGTTCCCTTCCCCGGCCGGGAGGGGGGGGGTCCCGGGGGAAGCCCGGGGGGGGTCCCGGAGGGGGGTCCCGGGGAGGTCCCGGGAGGGGTCCTGCTGGGTCAGAATACCACCTCCTCCTCCTTCGGGGTCCCGGGGGAAGCCCGGGGGACCGGGGGGGGGGGGGTCCTGCAGGGGGCCCGGGTCCTGCAGGGGGTCCCAGGTAAGAATACCACACCTCCTCCTCCTCCTGAGCATCTTTTGCCACCTTCTCCATGTCCTTCTCGTCTCCTTCTCGTTCGTCTCCCTCCTCCTCCTCCTCATCCTCCTCCTCCTCCTCCTCCTCTCCTCCTCCTTCCTCCTCCTCCTCCTCCTCTCCTCCTCCTTCAAAAGTAAATTGACTCGAAGGGTTTCCCCTTCCATTTGTTCCCTTCCCCGGCCAGGGGGGGGGTCCCGGGGGACCCGGGGGGGGGTCCCGGGGGGGGTCCTGGGGGGGGTCCCGGGTCAGAATACCACCTCCCTCCTCCTGGGGGTCCCGGGGGAAGCCCTCCAGGGGGGGTCCTGGGGGGGGGCCCCGGGGCGGGGTCCCGGGGGGGGGTCCTGGGGGGGGTTCCCGGTCAGAAATACCCTCCCCACTCCTCCATGTTGCCGCCTTCTCTCCTTATCGTTTGTCTCCTCCTCCCCCTCCCTCCTCCCCTCCCTCCCTCCTCCTCCTCCTCCTCCTTCCTCCCCTCCTCCTCCTCCTCCTCCTCCTCCTCCTCCTCCTCCCCCTTCTCCTCCAATTCTCCCTCCTCCTCCTCCTCCTCCTCCTCCTCCTCCTCCTCCTCACACACTTCCTCCGCCTACCCTGTCACGTTGTCCTTTAGCTCCTTCCTGTGATCACACATCCCGTCGCCATCGACGGCCAAAACCGTCAGGGTCGGCGGCACCGGCCGTAAGGCCTTCACGATGTTATTATTCGTATTGTTATTATTATTGATATTATTATTGCTATTATTCTAAATCCAGTCCAGAGTACTCTTTGGAGGCTCTTTACAGGGTTTTTGAAACGGCAGCATGGCTTTGAGGTCCGCGCGGGGGCCTCAGAAAGTTTGGAGTCGAAGCGTGGCCACAAGAGCGCAGGTCAAGCGCGCGAGCCCTTCGCCGATACCCCAGATTTCATGGCCTTCCAAGGAGGAGAGCGAAACACATAAAGATACTCCTCCGTAGCCAGGGATGCCCCTCCCTAGGAGCCCCCAGCGGCGCAAACACTGACCGTGGGAGCTCCGCGCGGATGTCTTGGATCGGCGCTGGACCCCCCCTCCCTGGCGCGCGGAGCGCGCCAGGGGCGGCGCCGGACCCGCCGCCAAAGGAGGCAAGCGCAGATCCAAGAAATCCGCGCGGAACTGCGAAAGTTGATGTTCATGCAACTTTTCTTAATCGATCTCTGTCACTCGAGAACCATGCGGAAACACCTTACGAACGACGGCGTCGACGGCACCCCACCCTCCTTCGCGCGCCGCCGAGGGCACAAGCCCGAGAAGCACTTCAGGGCCAGCAGCCGCACGTCGCCCTGGTCGCTCTTCAAGAAGCTCGCCAGCGGCGGCAGGATGCAGCGCACCACCTGCCGGAGCATCAGGCGGGGTCGCCTACACGCAAGAATGACCCTCGACAGGAGTGACTTTTGGTGCGCGGCTTTTGGGACCCCCGCGGCAATAATCCTTCGCAAAGTTTGTTGGCTTCGCGCCGCCGACGTCCGACGGTTCGCGCCACCGAAGCCATGATCCCCTCCAGGCTCGCGCCCCCGAAGCCACAATCCGTTGGAAATTACGCCTGCCACTTCGCAGATTACGCCTGGCTCGCGCCCCCGAGGCAACGAATTCTTGCAAATCGCAACAGATTCGCGCCCCCGAGGCCACAATCCTTTGCAAATTGCGCCAGATTCGCGCCCACGAAACCATAAACATGCGTAACTTACACCACATACGCAACCTCGGGGCCACAATCCTTTGCAAATTGCGCCAGACTCGCGCCCCCGAAACGCGTCCCCGAAGCCACGACACCTTGTAAATTACACCAGCGCCGCGCCGCCGAGGCAACAATTATGATAACGAACTCGCGCTCCCGAGGCTACGAACCCATTCCACAGAAGCTGCCCCAAACGGCCCCCCTCTTCAGAAGTTAAAAGCGGTAATTGTCTAGTTGTTCGCCCTCCCCCGCTGTTTCCTGAAAACTCTGCGCTAGATCATTCCTCCAAAATTACCCTGCGACGTACCCAATTCATGTGCATCAGGAAACGGGGGGAGCTGGCCCGAACTTGCCAGGACAATCACAGTGCAGCCGCCGTTATGTTGTGCAAACTACATGGAATGCGTTCACGTGGCACGATTCACAGGACAACAGCAGAAGAACGAGGAACATAGGCTTTGGCTTCAGGAGGACACGGGGGCGGGAACGAAGGGCAAGAAAAGGACGCGCGGGGGGCCGAACCGTTAGCGCGGCAGCGGCAGAGGGAATGCGGCAGGGGGCAGAGGACGACGACGAAAATGACGGGAGGAGACCGAAGTGTTGCTTTTGCAGCTGGTACGCTAAAAATGTTCCGTTGCCTGCGCCATGCCACCCCGGCGTTCCACCGAATGCTCCCCCTGCTTAAATAGTGAGTGCAAGATGCGAGTGAGGCCAAGCTCGCTCGCCAACTTCGCTGCTTCCTTCCTGACGACGCCCGAACCCGAAACAAATCTCAGGTAACAGGACATGGCGCCACTCCGCTGGACCCCAAGGATGGCGAGGTCTCCTGGTGGTCCGCGCATGGCGTCACTCCGCTACACCCCAACAGCCATCGAACGTGGCAACCATTTCGCAGATCGCAGCCCCCCAGGGATGCCGAGGTCTCCAAGTGATCCGCGTAAGACGTCGCCCCGCTGCAGTCCCAAGCAGCCCTCGAAAATGGCGACTGTCTCGCAGATCGCAACCCCCCTGGGAGGTCGAGGTCTCCTGGTGTTCCGTGTAAAACGTCAGTTTGGTGCACCCCCCAGCAGCCCTCGAACGTGGCGTCAATTTCGCAGAAGTCAGCCCCCCAGGGATGGCGAGGTCTCCTTGTGATCCGCGTAAGACGTCACTTCGACGACCCCCCCGCGGAACTCGAAAATGGCGGCCGTTTCGCAGATCGCAGCCCCCCAAGGATGCCAAGGCCTCACGGTGGTCCGCGTAATGCGTCACCCCGCTGCGCCCCCCAGCAGCCCTCGAACGTGGCGTCAGCGTCGAAAACAAAAGCCCCCCAGGGATGGCGAGGTCTCCTGGGTGTCCGCGTAAGACGTCACCCCGCCGCACCCCCAGCCACCCTCGAACGTGGCGACAATTTCGCAGATCGCAGCCCCCATCGAACACCCAGGCAAGACGACGAAATACGAGGCAGGATAGCAGGGAAGAGTAGTAAAAGGCAGGACCAAAAAGGAAAGAGGTAGGCGGGAGGTGGAGACCACAGTGCTCTATCCGAAACGAATGCCCAGCGCAAGAAGGTTGGGAACACATTGCCCTGTGACGTACCCAACTCATTTGCACTAAGTGGCAAGAGGAGCTGGCCAAAACTTGCCAGGACGATAGCACTGCAACCGCCGTGATATGTTGTGCAAGCTGTATGGGATGCACCCACGTGGCACGATTCACGGAATAATGACAGAAGAACGAGGAACAAGGGCCCAGGCTTGAGGAGGACGCAGGGCGGGAACGAAGGGCAGGGCAAGGACGCATGAGGGGCCGAATCGTCAGCGCGGCAGCGGCAGAGGAAAGGTGGCAGAGGGCAGAGGACGACGAAGAAAGTGGCGGGAGGAGACCGAATAGTGTTGCTTTTGTCGATGGTACGCTGAAGATGCAGCGCTGCCTGCGTCATGTCGCCGCAGCACTTATACCTAATGCAAGACGCGAGCGAGGCCTAGCTCGCTCGCCAGCATATTTGCCTCCTTCCTGCGCTTTCAGTGCGGGAGCTGGACGCTCGAAGGCGCGCCGCCAGGTTTGCGGGCGGCCCGCGGGCTAGAACATCCAGGCCGAGGCCGCGAATCAGTGTGAGGTTGTCCACGGTCGTTGTCCTGGACAGCATCGCGTAAAGACGCAGCCGGGATGGCGAGGTCCCCTCCTGGTGATGCGTGTAAAGCGTCTCTCCGCTGACCCCCCAGCAGCCCTCGAAAGTGGCAACTGTCTCGCAGATCGCAAGCCCCCCAGGGATAGCGGGATCTCACGGATATCCGTGAAGACGTCACTCCGCTGGACCCCCCAGCAACCCTCGAAAATGGCAACAGTTTCGCAGATCGCAGTCCCCCAGGGATGGCGAGGTCTCCTGGTGATCCGCGTAAGACGTCACTCAGCTGGACCCCCCAGCAGCCCTCGGAAGCGGCGACCGTTTCGAAGGTCGCAGCCCCCCAAGGATGCCGAGGCCTCCTGGGCATCCGCGTAAGACGTCACTTCGCTGCACCCCCCAGCAGACCTCGAAGATGGAGAAAGTTTCGCAGATTGCAGCCCCCCGGGATGGCGAGGTCTCCTAGTGATCCGCGTAAGGCGTCACTCCGCTGCACCCCCAAGCAGCCCTCAAAAGTGGCAGCAATTTCGCAGATCGCAGCCCCCCAAAGGTCTCCTGGTGATCCGCGTAGGACGTCACTCCGCTGCACTACCGAGGAGCCCTCTAAAGTGGCAACAGTTTCGCAGATCGCAGCCCCCAAAGATGGCGAGGTCTCATTTGAGTTTGGATAAGACGTCACTTCGCTGGACCCCCGAGCAGCCCTCGAAAGTGGCGACAGTTTCGCAGATTGCAGCCCCCCAGGGATGGCGAGGACTCATTTGAGCCGGGTTAAGACGTCACTCCGCTGACCCCTCAGCAGCCCTCGAAAGCGGCGACAGTTTCGCATACTGCAGCATCCCAGGGATGGCGAGGTCTCGTTTGAGTCTGGGTAGAGACGTCGCTCTGCTGGACCCCCCAGCAAACCTCGAAAGTGGCACCAGTTTCGCAGATCGCACTCCCCCAGGGATACCGAGGTCTCATCTGAGCCTGGGGAAGACGTCACTCCCCTGGACCCCCAGCAGCCCTCGAAAGTGGCGACTGTCTCGCAGATCGCAAGCCCCCCAGGGGACGACGAGGTCTCATTTGAATCTGGATAAGACGTCACTCCGCTGGACCTCCCAGCAGCCCTCGAAAATGGCAACAGTTTCGCAGATCACAGCCCCACAGGGCAGGAAGGAAGAGGAGAGGAGGAAGGAGGAGGGAAGGAAAGTTGGTGCGCGACCGCAGTGCTCTATTCAAAACGAGAACCCAACGCAGGAGGGTTGGGAACAACAAAAACTGCAAGAAACCCAACGAGCGCGATTTTCCCATGACGGCCTTAGGCAGCCCCAAGTTTTTCCAAGAGGGCTTCTAATACACGACATGAAGGACATACTTTAAGAAGGCAACAGAGCGTTCAACGATAACTCCAGCATCATAATATGTTCTGCTGATTGCCAGCCCTCCTCGCATGATGTTCCCAGATGCCTCCAGGGCGGCGCCAAACATCGCGATGTAGCTCTGATATATCCCATCATGGTAGAGAATGGGTCCAGCGGCAGAAGGCGAAACCATTACGGATAACAGGGTATCTGGCTGCCTGCCTCGGTCTGGCGGGGCCTCCCTGGAGGTGGCAGAGTGCCAAGGCTGCTGGAATGGGGAGGGCACGAAACCAGATGAACAGCATGGTATCCGGATGCCTGCTGCGGTCTGGCGGGGCCTCCCTGGAGGTGGCACTGCCAAGGCCGGTGGATGGCACGAAACGTGAGAGGGTGGGGGAGTAGAGAAGGGGATGTGGCTCTTGCATGAGGGGGAGGAGGAGGAGAAGGAGGAGGAGGAGGAGGAGAAGAAGGAGAAGGAAAGGAGGAGGGGCGAAAATCTTCCCTGGGGCATGAATGCCCTGGGATGCGTTCCGACCACAGTTTTTCTAAGGGGATCGAGCCGTGGCTACAACAAAGCCTCCTGGAGGCCAAGAAGAGGCCGCACAACATCCAGAAACCTCGATCCGAGCACCTCGAAAAGAATGATGGGCGGATCTTCCACCACCACCACCACCACCACCACCACCACCACCACCACCACCACCACCACCACCACCACCACCACCACTACCACAACCATAGGTAGGAGAGGTCGGTGAGGGAGGAGGAGGAGAATGAGGAGGAGAAGAGGAGGAGGACGAGAAGGAGGAGGAGGAGGAGGAGGAGGAGGACCTCCCCTATCCTCCCTTCTCCCCCGTCATACCTATGGTAGTGGTGGTGGGAAACTGGCCCATCACAGAAGGCAGAGGAGCCACCGTCACGAAAAGCGCTCCTACAAGCAGAGCCCTGCTCAGCACACGCACCGGAGAGGAGGGAACCGAGCAGCGCAGGACCTGTCCGGCAAACGTCCAAGACGGCTTATGGCCTGGGTAAACGCCACTGGCGGGGGTCCGGGTGGTCCTCCGGCTGCACGCAAGAGCGACCCTGGGCAAGAGTGACCTCTGGTGCCTGGCTCTGGGAGGGGCGCGAGGGGGCCCCAACCGAGCGCGCAAGCCGCTGCCGCCGCGTCTCATTCCGCGATCGGGGAGAACCCGCGAGCCCGCACCATAGGTCACTCCGGCGAAGGGTCACTCCTACACTTTTTTTACAAGCTCGAGCGGGCGCCCCGTGGCTGAGGAGAGGAGAGGACAGCAGCAGGGGGGGGAAAAACAAGACGAGAGGTAGCAGCAGCAGCAAGCAGTGCAGACAGGCGCGGCCGCGGCCGCTACCTGGCACCCCGACTACACGTCGTACACTTCTACACGTCGTTCACTTCTAATGGTGCTCATTTCTAATTGTGCTCATTTCTAACTGCTCCTAGCCCCCTAGTGGCCAGGAAGAGGCCCAGGACAGGAGAGTCAGAAACGAAAGGATCTTGGCCCCCCCGAAAAACCAAAGAACTTCCGAAGAATTAGAGATGAACCATGTGCACGTGTAGCCGAATCTTCTTTTCGGGGAGCGCCCCAGGGGGGGGAAGGGCAGAGGGGGCGGGCCTCCTCAGCAGGCCAAGAAAGACGTCATCGAGCCTTCGAGACCCCGCCGCCTCCTGAGAGGGCCTTCCCCCCTCGGCGCGCCGCGGATCCCCCCTGGTCGAGACCCGATCCCTGGTCCGCTCGGCGGCCGCTAACGAGGGAGGAGGAGACTGCATGGCACGCGCTTGCGACGGTCACCGCGGATTTCTGGGATCTGCGCTGGACCTCGGGTCCCTCCCTGGCGCACGAAGCGCGCCGGGGGCCCAAGCTCCGGAGAGCCGCAGCGGAGCCTCGCGGAGGGAGCTTCCGAGAGGCCCCCCCTCCCTCTTCCTGGGGGCCCGCGCGCGAACGGGCGCCCCGCCGCTCTTCCCGCCTGCAAGGCGCACTCGAGCACCAGGGCCTGCGGCCGTCGCCGTCGGCGTCCCCGTCGCCGCCTTCGTCGTCGTCGTCGTCGTCGTCGTCGTCGTCGTCGTCGTCGTCGTCGTCGTCGTCGTCGTCGTCGTCGTCGTCGTCGTCGTCGTCGTGGTGTGGCGTGTGCGAGTGAGAGTGCGAGTGCGTGTGCGTGTGCGTGTGCGTGTGTGTGTGTTGTGTTGTGTTGTGTTGTGTTGTGTTGTGTTGTGTTGTGTTGTGTTGTGTTGTGTTGTGTTGTGTTGTGTTGTGATGTGGTGTGTTGTGTTGTGTTGTGTTGTGTTGTGATGTGTTGTGTTGTGGTGTGTTGTGTGGTCTTGTATTGTCTTGTATTGTGTTGTCTTGTCTTGCCTTGTCTTGCCTTGTCTTGTCTTGTCTTGTCTTGTCTTGTCTTGTCTTGTCTTGTCTTGTCTTGTCTTGTCTTCTCTTGTGTTGTGAGGTGATGTGATGTGTAGTGCTGTGTTGTGTTGTGTTGTGTTGTGTGTTATGTTGTGCTGTGCTGTGTTGTGTCGCGGATATGCCCCCCTTGGCGCATGGCATAGTTATGGTTCGCCGCCTGCGCTGGTTGCCTGTCCCACCTCCCGCCCGTCCTCCGCCATGCCTATAGTCGTGCCAGGCCTGCGGTGGCTTTCGCCTCGCCCGACGCGGTCTTCGGACAGTCCGCCGGGAGCCTCTCGGGTCGATCCCGCGCCGCCCATGCCCTGCCGACGGGACAGGCACAGCGCACCTCCTGCCCGGCCCTTGGCCTGCCGGCACGGCTGGATGGCGCGCTGTCGGTCGTCGCGCTCCGCCTCTGCTCAGCCCCCGGTCGGCCCTGGCCTTGACGCGACGGCTGGGATCCTCCTTCTGCGGGCCCTCCACAGTGATTCGATGCGCTGGGAACCTCTCGGCGTCGATCGCTGCTTCGGCTCGCCCCTCGCCCCGGGGCCCGCCCCCGCCCCCGACCCGCGGCTCTCCCTGGGCGGTGTCCGCACTCTCGGCTTGCGCGCCTCCCCTCTGGCCTCTCGGCCTCCTCTCCTGGCGCCCCGCCGCGCTTCTGCGTCCATGTGGCCGCCCATCCCTGTCTGCCGATCGGGTCTCGCCCGCTTGGGCGCCGCTCTGGCTCTGCTCCCCGGGCCGCTCTCTGCCCGCCTTGCAGGCGCGGCCGCCCTGCCCCGCTCCGCCCAGCCCACGTGCTTCGGCCTGCTGGGCTCGCCAGTGCGCCGTGGCTCCTCCTGGCTCCGGCCGCCAGCCTCCTCCTGGCTCCCTGCCGAGGCTCCCTGCCCGCTTACCTTTGGCGTGGAGCTTCGGCTCTGCGCTGCCGCGAGCCGCTCTTCTCCGCCCGCCCGTCCCGGCGTGGCGCCTCCTTCCCAGACCCCCCACGTCATGATTTGTTCACAGCGTCGACCCCCAGCAGAGGTCTGGACCCCTTCCCCCAGACCGGCTTTTCATCCTGAGTCGTTCCTGGGCAGCCCCGAGGCCCGGTAAGGCGGGTAAGGCGGGAAGGGCCCCCGGGGGCCGAAGATGGCGAAACACCTCCCGTCGTGATTCCTTTCACGACTCGAGGGGGTCTGGGTTGCCCGCTGCCTCGCCCTGCCTCCTCTGCCCGCCACCCCCGCCACTCTCGGGGGCGACGATGGGGGCGAATAGTCATGGGGAGAGCAATACGTGTATCCAAAGGCGCCGGTGGTCCATGCCTTCGGCGAGGCTCCTGGGCGAAGACGTGCAATGCCCGCCCCTGGGCTATTCGTCCCCATCGTCGCCTCCGACCCTCCCCTCCCCCCCGGTCACGTCACGATTCGCGCCGGCGCCGTGGAAATATTTAGTTACAAGCATCCCCAGACAGCGGCGGCGCGAATCGTGACGTGACGGGCCCCCTCCCGCCCTCCCACCCGCCCCGGTCACGCCCGTTATCGCCAGAGGATGAAAAACTGTGTCCAGGCCGATTCCCGATTTCACACGCCATCTGCTTCGATCCAACTGGAAATACCCCGATCTAACTGTACGACCAGCCTTCGGGTGATAAGGAGGATCGGGGGTGCGGAGGAACCAACGTCTCACTCCATAGATCTCACCATCGATCTCACAATCGATCTCATTATCGATCTCACGATCGATCTCACTATCCCTCTTACGATCGAGTCCAGTATCGATCTCACGATCCATCTCATAATCGATCTCACGATCAACCTCATGGTGCTTCGCACTAACGATCTGACTATCGATCTCACTATGGGCTCACTATCGATATCACTATCTATCTCACTATCGATGTTACTACGGGATACCAATGGGGCACCGGTGGGACACCGACGAGACACGACTATCGATCTAACTATCGATCTAACTCGGTCGGTCTCACAATTGGTCCCACCATCGATCTCAGACCCCTCTCAATATTTCTCTCACTGTAGATCTCAGCATCGATCTCACTATCGATCTCAATATCGATCTCACTATCGACCTCACGATCCCTCTCACTATCAACCTTACTGTCGATCTCACTGTCGATCTCACTATCGATCTCACTATCGATCTCACTCACTATCGATACCACTATGGATCTCACTATGCACGATCGATCTCACTCCGGGGCACAGAAGGGACACCGACGGGACACCACGGGACACCACGGCGTGATACCCCGCTGCCAGCGGCCGCCGCGTGGTCCTCTCCGCGCCCTGGCCAAAGGAGAATTCCTTCCACTCGCCCGCCCACGCAGCTTCGCCTCGCCCGCACGCGCGACCGAGTTCCCGGTGGGGGGCTCTCCGTTCGCGATCTCACCCTGCAACCTCCGATCTGGAGAGGTGCCTCGCTATGCCTGGCCTGATCCCCGTAAGCCGATGGGAAACAAGGCAGCAAAAGCCCTTCAGTAGGGAGTACCGTCAGAAACTCTTGCTCAGCGCGTCGCAGCGGCGGCCCCGGCGACACGGTGTGCCCTGCGAGCGGATGGCGTCTGCGGCACTACACAACTTGACCGTAAGAGCAGAGGTCGCTTGCATGTCGGCGATAGCCTGGGATATCCGGTGAGGGGGGGAAAGCCGAGAACCTAAAACTCTGTCGCTGTGGGCAACCCCAACTCTGCCCGCGCCGACCAATAATTACTGCGCGCCACCCTTGGACCCGTGCAACCGACAAGGTCAAGGCATCCGGGGGGGAAGGGGGGCGGGCCAAATAACCCCGGCCATCGCCAGACCCTTAACAAACAAAAACGTCTCTCAGCCTTTCCCCCTCACTGGTGCCGACACGATCGGCATATTCCGAAATGTCAGATCGTTCAACATCGACCGATTCTGGGTCACTGGCGGCGTTCAACGTTGAACGCGCGCGCTGGGGGTCGCCTCCAATCGACACGACGCGAACCTACTGTACCTCTTCACGGAGACAAGGCCGTGCACGATGACAGCAAAACCGAAAAACGACTGAACCGACAGCGAAACCGAAACCGAGCAACATCGGCAGGCCGCAGGCAACCCAGAAAGGTGCAACGACGCAGCAACGACACAATGACCGACCGAACCGAACCGACCGAACGCAACTGGCTGCGACTCAACCCAGCCGACCGAACCGTGAACACCCTCTCAGGCGTGGACGAAACTAGGTTTAGTGGGACCTGGTTTGGGAAAATGTGCCGGGCAACGCCCCCCCCCCCTTTCACCAACCGGAACTGCCGTCACACGAAGAGAAACCAGCCACGGCAGACCACGAAGAGAAACCAGCCACGGCAGACCTGGTTTCGCGATTCTGGCCCACACTCTGGGCTTCGGGGCCCAACCACGAACGGGCTCCCCTTCTGCGGGGCCCCGGCTGTGCCCGACCCTTGCTCCCCCTCCCTGGGTGCCTGCTGCGCGCTCAGGGCCTCCACGACCATCAGCAGCAGCGGCTGCAGCTCGCCCGGGCCGCGCGGCGCGGGCGGCAGCTGCGAGGCCAGCTCGCACGCGGTCCTCCCACCCCGAGTGGGCGCGGGCGCACCCCGAAGCGACGGACGCCGGTGCGCTCTTGGACCCGCGCAGGTCTCCCGAGCCGCCGCAGTCGTCGTCAGCGTCGTCGTCGTCGTCGTCGTCGTCGCCGGCGGCGGCGGCGGCGTCGTCGGCGGCGTCGTCGGCGTCGTCATCATCGCCTACCCCTGAGATCCTGGCGGTGCAGATGTTTTGCACAACGGGCGTTTTCGCCCTGCCTGTTTCGAACCCCCAGGCCCTCAGAGGTCGACCAGGCACGAAAGAGGGCGCAGGAAGATGGGTTCGAGGATTCTGGGCATGATGTTTCGCGACGTTGCATTTTGATTCGCAACGTCGGATCTCAGGGGTCGCGCTTCGCGCTGCATCCCGAACTGTTTCGTTGACTGCCCCAGGGCCCCACAAGGACCCCCATGGACGCCAGAAACATAGGCACGTATGTATGGATATCTATATCTATATATATGCTAAGACCATCGTGCGCGCTTCGTGAAAACTCAAGCTCTTGAAGAGCTTGGACAGCGCCAGGACACACAAGCACGTGCCATAGTCGTAGCCATTAGCACCCGCATCCTCACTCCTATCATCAGATTCCTCCCCGTGATCCCACTCATCGTCATCATAAAAATCATCATGACCGTACTCATCAACAAGAGCAGCATCATGAGGGGCACCATTGGCCCAATGCTGCTAGCCATGCCGTCGCGTGAAACTCGTCATCCTCATCATCCTTGTTCCTATCGTCATCATCAACATCATCGGTATCATCCCCTCTATTATTCGCCATCATCAACACCGCTACGCTAATCGCGCGCGTCGCCACTGTCATCGCCTTACCCATCATCACCATCCTCCACATCATCAACATAATGAGCATAAGTATCTTCATCGTCGTCATCGTCGGCCCAATGTTCCCAGAGAGACCTCCAGGAACATCCGGCCGACTGCGCGCCTCGGGGAGCCTCTTGGAGACGCTTGGGGGGGGGGAGGGGCGGGCTCCTGGAATTAGTTTGCAGGTTGTCCAGGGGGCCATCTTCTGCCGATTCGGGACCCCCTTGGGCCGTCTGGAGGGGCATTGGGAGGCCTGGGAGGCTGGCCCATCGAGAGCGAAGAGCCGAATTCTTCAGAACCCGTAGACTCCCATTGGTTATTTGATCGATTTAGACGTCCCGTTGGACCCTTGGAAGCCTATTCGGGGCATCTTGGGGGCCTCTTGGGGGCCACTTGGCGCTGCTGCCTTGGGACCTCGACGGGGCTTCGCGGGCTATCCCAAGGTGCTCTTGGCCTGTCTGGCGCCTTCGGAAACCGTCCCGCCGGGCTTCGAGATCGTTTCGATCGTTTTGGGGGGATCTTGAACGCTCTTGGAATCGCCTTGGTGGCCTCTGGGGCTACTATTGGGGCTCTCTCAGGCAAGTTTGGGGCCCTACAGCAGCCTCAGAGGCGGCCGCCGCATGGAGGAGGATAAGGAGTCGAAAACATGACCATGGTTACGATGATCATCACCATCATGTTCGCTCGTGTTGTAGAATCTGGTTTCAACATCTGGTCTTTGCGGATGCTGGTAGTCTTCGTCGACGGGCTCCCGATCACAAGACGCACAGCCCCTCGCGGCAGCATCGTCAACTTGCAGCGGCGCGCAAGCGACTTACCACGCCGACCCGATTGTCCGCTTTGACCGCCGCGCTTGCGTGCTGCAGCGCCGTGCCATGCTGCTGGGCCGCTGCGAGGACGAGGGCTCGATTCCCTCGGAGCTCTGCGCTGGCAAGCTCAGGCGCCACGCCAGTTTGCAGCCAGGTCGCGAGGACGAGTGCCGCGTAAAGGTTCGACTCTTCGCTGGCATGCTGCAACGCCCGGCCAGGTTAGGGCACGGCCACAAGAACGAATTCACTGTGAGACTTCAGCTCTCCGCTGGCATGCTCCCAGGACTCGTCGTGCGACTGCACGGCTGTCAGTACGCTGCCTTTGCTGGATCGCAGATCCTCGCTGGCGAAAGGCAGATTCCAGCCACTTCGACGGACTGCGGCGAGCACCACCGTGCTGCTGGAATGGAGGCTCTCGCTGGCCGCGCCCACACGAGCCACCTGGCCAGATGGGCCTCCTACCACTGTCTGTGGGGCAGGATGCTGGGTGAGGGAGGCGGAGGGAGGAAGGACTGAAGGGGAGGTAAGGATGAAGAGAGAAGGGAAGGACGCTGCGGGGAAGAGGGGGGAGGAGAGCGGGATCAGGGAGAAAGGAGGGACGAGGAGAGAGGAGCTGCCGCCTCCAGGCTTGCCGCCATCTGGGATGTCTCGGCGGAGTCTCCTGGGGGCGTTTTCGGGGTGTCTTGAAAGCCTTCCTGGAGCCTGTTGGGAGCGCCTCTTGGGGCCTCTTGGGGGCCTTTGGGGGGGCCTCTTGGGAGCTCTTGAAGGCCTCTCAGAGCCGTCGTCGGCACTCGGTTCCTCTTGGGCGGGTCCTGGGGGCTCGCTGGGGCCTTTTCGGAGCGTCTTTGGGGCCTCGATGGTGCCTCTTCGGGTGACATGGGAAACTCCTGTGGCTTTTTGGGCCCCTTCGCGCCGCGCCGCTCGGGACGCATCTTGGGGGCATCTACGTTCAATAATTGCAGCCTCTGGAGGGCTTCCTGGAGCTCTTGGGGGATTCTTGGAGGCCGCTTGGGGCGATCTTGGGTTTAGAAGCTTCCAAAGCCGTCGGGGAACCGTCTAGGACAGCCTTGGAGCACTCTTAGGCTGTCTCGGGGGCGTCCTGGGCCGTCTTGAGGCCCTCCGGGGGCTCTCTTGGAGGCCCGGAAGGGTGGTCTGGGGATTTGCCTTGGATGGTTGCGAGGTTCGCAGGGCCCCCGGGGGGGTCTTCTGTGTATATCATGTGTATATATATATATATATATATATATATGTGTGTATACAAGGACGTGTGTACGCACACATCTGTGTGTATATAGTTACAAGGTTTTAACAGCGCGATTCGCGCGCCGAGACAATCTTGGCCCACTGACGAGAAACAGATGTCAATGTGGAGATTTTGCCTGAGATTCCCACGCCCTCCCAAAAATCGCCTGGTCTCTGTGCGAAATCCCCCTCCCCTCTCACGTCTCTCAATGGGCCTGGCGGTGGTCCCGCGAATTCTGGAGTCTCGTGGAGCATGTCTTGGAAAGGAGAAGATCTAGGCGTACACCTGAAGTGGGACCGGGCGAAACCCTACGGCCAGCGTGCGCGGAGGCCTTCGGGGTAGGACCATGGGCAGGCCCTCGCGGGAGGCCAAGGGATCCTAAGGGAAGGGCAGGGGTAGGCCTATGGCAGGTCATGGTTGTGGAGTCTCTGGGAGCATGTCTTGGTGACGATCGGAAGTGCTAGGGCGATGCCCTAGCCCAGGGAAGGCCTGGGCGAACGCCGAGAGCAAGCGCTGCGAGAGGCTCCATGGGGTAGGCCCACAGGAAAAGTCTAGCAGGAGGCGGCCTAGGGACCTAGGGAGCAGCCATGGAGTAGGGCTATGGCAGGCCAGGGGTCAACCATAAGGGTAAAGTCACGGTAAATCTCGCTAGTAGAAACTTCGGGGTGCACCCTAGGGGCTGGCCCAGGTAAGCCCTCAGGAAAAGCTTACAGGTAAGCAAGGTTGGCAGAGGGGCGGGCCCAAGGGGGAAGCCTACCGCTGAGGCGCACCAGAAAGGGCTCGGAATGGGGTCGGCCTCTGGCAAGCCCGAACTTCAGGTTCATGGGGTAAGTCGAGGATCAGATTAAGGGATGTGTTAGGCCTGAAGAAAGCCTAGGAGCAGGGCTGCGCAAGCCCAAAGTTGTAGGGGTGAGCCTCGGGGTTGGTCCGCGGGGCAACCTAGGGAAGCCTAGAGCATGCCTGTGTCTCAGGGTGATCGTTCAAGGTAAGCCCAGGGTAGGCAGAAGGGCGGGTTCAACACGGGAGCCGGCGCACGGGAAAGACCCTCACTTAAGGTTTCTGGGGTGAACTGGGGGTGAGCTTGAGGGAAAAGGTCAGGACATCGAGGCCGAGGTTCTGGCGGCATCCTCGGAGGAACGTAAGCGTTCTCGGGGGGCTTCGGGCGACAGGACTGATGGAGAAAGAGACCCGCGCATGTTCTGGCAGGCACAGGTCGGGTCATACAGGGGCGACGCCAAGGCGAAATCCAAACAAAATGAGCCCTGGCACTCCCCGAGAAGGCTCACTCTGGAACGAGGCGCTGCGCGAGCGGCAGGCGCGGGTAGGGTCACGCGGGGGCGACTGCAAGGCGAAGTCCAACAAAAATACCTCTGCCTGTCGCTGGGAAGTCTTTCGGGCGCGTTCGGCAAAGATCTATGAAACGCTAGAGGCCTTTTCGGAAATCTCGTGGAGCCTTTTTGGGGGCGCCTCGGAGAGTTCCAGGACGGTTTTGTATCTCTCTTGGGCTGTCGTGGGCGCTTGGGGCCGTCTTGGAAGATTCATGGGGGCCGTCTTTGGACGTCTCCCGAGGACGTCTTGGGCCCTCTGGGCGTCTCCCGGGGCCATCTTGGGCTCTCTTGGGCGCCTCTTGGACTCGAGTGGAGCCTTTTTTTGAACATTGGAAGGCGGTGGGGCCGCCGTAACCGCTGGGAGCACACAAGCAGCGCATGTGCTAAAAACGCACGCTTTGCGAAAAGATTGGGGCAACGGTTGGCTTCTCAGGGCTCTCCAGGGGGTCCCGTTGGAGCCCTCTTGAAGCGTTTTGGGAGCCTCCGGGGCCAGTTTGAGGCCATCTTGGGGCGTCTCGGGGAATTGCTGGGTTTGTGCCAGGGCTGAACCTAAACGGTGCTTTTCGTGTTCGTTGTGTTTTCTTTTTCCCTCGTTTTGTCTCAAATCCGCCTTTAACGCAAAGCGAAATCGAAACGAAAACGGCCCACGAAATCGCCAAAACACCGTCTAGGTCCACCCCTGGTTTGTGCAGGAATCGCTGGGAATTCTCGTTCCAGGACGGTTTTGGGGCTCTCTTGGGCTGTCGTGGGCGCTTGGGGACGTCTTGGAAGCTTCCTGGGGCCGTCTTGGGCGTCTCCCAGGGCCGTCTTGGGCCCTTTTGTCCTCTCCGGAGGCCATCTTGGGCTCTCTTGGGCGCCTCTTGGACTCGAGTGGAGCCTGTGTTAAAGTTAGCCTGACGAAGGACCCAACCAGATGTGCAGCTAAGAGTACCGCGAGGGAGATGAGACGGAGGAGGGGGGCCCGCGGTGTCCAAAGCTCCATGCACCGCCGTTTTGCCTCCATTTTCTTCCCGCCACCGCCAACGTCGCGCTACGTTGGATCCTGGCGGGTCTCCCTCGATCGCATCGTCTGGAGGCCGTTTCTGGGTCCAGGGCTATGATTGGAGGCCTGGAAGCGGGCACCAACACCAAGCTAGGGGGCTGCCTCCACAGGGGTAAGATGATCCTGGATTTTGGTGTTGGTGGTAATATTTCGGTCACCTCGGAAGTCAGAGTATCACCATCATCGCCGAGATCGGGATCCTCTTCCCTGGGTGGAGGCACACCGCCTTAGAGGTTGACACCAACACCAATATCGGCGATGTTCCCCCACCGAGGGAAGAAGATCCCGATCTCGGTGATGGTGGTAACATTGTGGTTCAAAATATTACCACCAACACCGAAATCTAGGATAATCTCCCCTCTGTGGAGGCAGCCCCCCTAATTAGCTTGGTGTTGGTGCCCGCTTCCAGACCTCCACGGGGTCGAGAGGTCCAGGGGCCTCGCGCCGTGGAACACTCCATGGGGCCTCGCGCAAGCGTCCCTTCCTCGCGCAGGGTCGCGGGGGCGCATGCAAACCCTGCCACGGGGGCCTTCGGTGGAGCTCCCCATGGGGCCACGAGCCGTGTGAAGAGTGCGCCGAAATGAGTCGCGGGGACGCGTGCAAACCCCGCCACGGGGACCTTCGGTGGAGCTCCCAATGGGGTCACGAGCCCTGAGGGGTGCGAGTCGCGGGGACGCAAGTGAACCCTGGCACTGGGGCCTTCGTTGGAGCTCCCTACGGGGCCACGAACCTTGTGAAAGGTATGCCGAAATCGAGGCGGTGGTGCCATGCGAACCCGGAAATGGGGCCTTCGGTAGAGCTTCCCATGGGGCCACGAAAAGTGTGAGGGGTGTGCCGAAATGGATGGCACTCACGTGTGGGATGATGATGGTGATGATGATGGTGATGATGATGATGGTGATGATGATGATGATGATGCTGGTGATGATGCTGGTGATGATGATGATGATGCTGATGATGATGATGATAATGATGATGATGACGATGCTGGTGATGCTGGTAATGGTGATGGCGATGATGAGGATGAGGATGGATGATGGAGTGCGGGGAGGAGGACGAGGAGGAGGAGGAGGAGGAGGAGGAGGAGGGAGGAGGAGGAGAGGAGGAGGTGGGACGCGGGACGCTGTCTCTTCAAAACAAGAACGCAAGACCACAAGATGGTTGGGTTCATTGGAAGGCAGTGGGGCCGCCGTGACCGCTGGGAGCACTTTGCGAAGGGATTGGGGCACTTGTTGGCATCTCAGGGCTCTCCAGGGGGTCCCGTTGGAGCCCTCTTGAAGCGTATTTGGAGCCTCTGGAGCCGGTTTGAGGTCATCTTGGGGCGTCTTGGGGCGCTTTGGTGCCGTCTCGAAACCTCTTGGATTGTCCAGGAGCTGCTCCGAACCTTCTTGGGGCAATTGTGGTCGGTGTAGGGGCCGCCCAGGGTCCGAACATCGTTATGTGCCGACGAGGTGGGGGCCATCCCCGGGTATATGATTATTGGGCTACATACATATGATACCGGAGAAAAATCCCAATCATAATATTTTTAGGGCTGTAGGGCTATGGGGCTATACGGTTACAGGACCATAGGGCTAGGGCTATAGGACTATAGGACTATAGGACTATAGGGCTATAGGACTATAGGAACATAGGGCTATAGGGCTACAAGGCAATTAGGCTATAGGGCTATAGGCCTATAAGGGCTAAAGGGTTATATGGCTATAGGGCGATTGGGCTATAGGGCATAAGGACTACGGGGCTATAGAGCTATAGGGCTATTAGGGCTATTAGGGCTATAGGGCTATAGGGCTATAGGTCGATAGGTCTATAGGGATATAGGGCTATAGAGCTACAGGACTATAGGGCGATAGAGCACCCGGGCACCCCGGGGCACCTCCGGGCACCCCTGGGCACCTCCGGGCACCCCCGGTCACACGGGCACCCGGGGGTGCGGCGAAAATCGGCGGCAAACCTAACCTAACCATATGAATCCGCTAGGACCCCTACAGAGGCAAGCTCTGATTGTGCAACATACATACATGCATACATACAGACAGACAGACAGACAGACAGACAGACAGACAGGTAGACATACATCCATACACACATACGTACATGCACGCATGCACACATACATGCATACAAACACACATGCTACATACAATGTATGCATATATACATGTATCTACATACATCCAACCTTTCATACATACATGCAGCAATCCGTTCATTCACCCGTCCATCCATGCATACATACATAAGTACATACACGCAGGCATACGAATGTACATTAAACACACATACACACATACAGACACAAACACACACACACACACAAACAAGCAGGACATACTTGCACACATACACACATACATGCACATATAAAAAACAAGCATACATACATACATACATACATACGTACAAGCATGCATGCATACACGCACACGTACGAACATACACACATACAGGCATGTATACATGTATACACACATAGATACGTACGTGTATGTACGCATACGCACAAACATGCATACATGCATGCATACATGCATGCATACACACCTGCATGCATACATGCGTACGCGCGTGCATACATACAGCACGCGACGCCGTCGAGGCCATCATTCTTTTGGGACAGGAGAAGGCCAGGCGATGCGATGCAATCGTGCAACTGCAGATGAGACGGCGGACGCGGGCACCAGAAGCAGCAGAGACCCACTTTGGTGGCCCCCACCCCTGACAGATCAGTTCAAAGTAGGCGAATCGGGATGGCAATGGGGAAACTTTGAGCACAAATATGAGTACGTATGCAAGCCAATGACGTCTGTAGTGTTCTCGCCGGCAGAAAAACCGACCCTTTTCAGTTGAAAAGGGTCGGTTTCTGCGTTGCTCCCAGACGACTGCACTTTACAATGTTTCGTCCGGTTCCCCGTCTCCGCTCAGCATTCAGTTGTAAAAACTACCAGCACGCGACGCCGTCGAGGCCATCATTCTTTTGGGACAGGAAAGGGCCAGGCGATGCGATGCAATCGTGCAACTGCAAATGAGACGGCGGACGCGGGCACCAGAAGCAGCAGAGACCCACTTTGGTGGCCCCCACCCGATCCCGAAGGTTTGTCTGGCCGAAGGCCGCATTAACTAGTCATTTTCATGGCGAGCGAATGGAGGGCCTGCCCGGGCTGCAGAGAAAGGGACTGAACGATGCACTGGGCAGCGGCAGCGGCGAGCTGGGAGGGGTACTCAGCAGCGAGCGCGGTACGCTTTCGACCCTGCTCGTCGTTCCCTTCAAGAACGAGGTGCTTGTTGCCAGTCCTACTGCAAAACCCTCGGCGACCAGAACAAATCTTTTCGAGCAACGGCGATGCGGCGGCACCCCAAGAACAGATGGTGGTGGCTTTTCTGTAAAGCGCGCCGTACTGGCACTGATGCAACACAGACTTGCGACAAGAGGGCGACTTACACAGACGAGCCAGCCCAGGGCCAGACCAAATGAGCGAGGTCTGTGGATTCTCTAAGTATACGGGCACTCGAGCTGCAATGCATGCGCGAATCACTCTGAGCGTAAAGCGGTACGTAGCGTTGCCAGCGCCTACCCTGGCCTGCTCATGGGCATTCAGATCAGGAAGACCGAGCGGGTGGAGCGCGGACCTCAGCGGCCGCCGGAGCGCCCTCGTCCAGCTCGCGCACGGCGTGCCGAGCCAAACGGCGCCCACCGCTCGGGACTGGATCCAGCCAAGGACGACGGTCTGGAATGTCGCCGCAACGTGGTCCTCCAGCGGGCTGCGGCTCCAGTCGAGCCCGAAGGCGGCGAAGCCCAGCGCCACCATCGCACGAGCTATCGTGCCGGCGCCGCAGAACAGCTCCAGCACGGGCCGACGACGCAGCCGGCGCCCTGGGGCCGCCGCGCGCTGGTACTGCCGCCGCAGGTGCCGCCTGATGGCGTCCGGGCCGCCAGCCGCCGCGCTGGCGTCCGCGCCGCCAGTGGCCGTCACCGCGCCGCCGCCGGCCGCTTCCGCGCCCGCTGGGGGGCGACGGCCTGAGCTCCGAGCAGGCCGGCGGCCCCGGCCGGCACGCGGCCAGTCGCCAGCAGCGCGGGGAGGGAGCCCTCGACGAGCGCCATCAAATTGTCCTCGACGAAAGCCCCGAGCTCCAGGGCAGCCGGAGGGATCCAGGCGAGCTCGTCCAGCAGCTTTGTCTCCTTGCGGTTGAGACTCTTCGCGGACCGCCATCGTCCGCGCCTCTGGATCTCTGGCAGAGACCTCCGTTGCGACAGCATGTCGTCCGAGGCCCCGCCGCGACGCAAGCTGTATAAGTGTGGTCGGAGGCGTTCCAGCGACAGCTCCCGGCAGGCGCTGTCGAAGAGCTTCGGCAGCTGCGCGATCGTCTCCCCCCACAACGGCTGGTCGGGCAGGGTGCTGAGCTTCAAGGCCGCCAGCAGGGGGGCGAGCCAGCCCTCGCGGTCAAAGAGGATGCTCTCGTCGTTCACGCCCGTCTTGCCTGGGTCCTTGCCGCTCTCGTGCAGGAGCAGCCCGAAGTACTGGTAGAGCGTCCCCGCGGAGGCAGAAGGCGCTATCAAGTGGCGCCCGCGCAGCTTCGCCGCCTCCCCGGGCCTGAGGTAGCACGCAAACATGACGAGGATGCAGATGGCGAGCCGGGAGTGCTCGTCGCGCAGGAGGACGCCCGCGATGGCAAACGCGACTCGCCGCGGCAGCGGGAGGCGCGTGCGGCCCGGCGCCCGCCGGGCCCAGGCTGCAGCCGCGCGGTGCGCCCTCGGCAGCTGCGTCGCCGCTCGCTTGTGGAGCGAGCCGAGAAAGTGGGCGACCGCCGCCAGGAGCACGTTCCCCATGTTCCCGCCGCCGCCGAGGAGGAACTCGCTGTCCATGTACTGCACGAGGACCGAGTCGAGGCTGGCATGGTCCGTCCAGTCCAGGCGGTGCCTTGCGCAGAAGCTCGCGAAGGCCGACAGCGCCCCCCGGTAGAGCTTCTCTGTCGAGGGCCGCACCGCCAGCCGCTCCAGCAACGAGAGCCCCAGGACCGGCGCCGCAGCAGCTGCAAGCTCCTGCGCGCGGCGGGCTCGCTCGCCCCTCAGCGCCGACGCCGTCGGAGCCGCCTGCTTCCTCCCAGCCAGCGCGGCCCGGAGGAGGAGCGCCAGCAACCAGTGCAGCCGCGTGATCCAGCAGCCCCACGCCCGGCAGTGCCGGCGCCGGCCGACTGCCGGAGAACCAGCCAACGCGCCCGCGACTGTGCCCGTCGGCGGGATTCGCCTCCGACGGGATCCACCTGACAGACAGGGTTGAGCCAGTGGCCACGGAGAGCGCGCAGATCTTGCGAAGGGTGCTCTGGAGGTGCCTGCTGCGAGCCCGGCCCTTCCCGACCGACAGGACCAAGGGCAGGTTGTCGGAGAGGACGAGGAACCGGGACCCGAACGAAGACGTGGACCGTAGCAGATGGCGATACCCAAGAACGAGAGCCCCCCCCTCCAAGGCCAAGATGTCGGCCTGACCGTCGACGAAGACCGCGGCGACCGAGCCCCAGGCCGACTCCCGAATGAAGTGCGCGGGGACCTCCTCGAAGTCGACGGGCGGGCGAGGATCGAGCACCGAACGCCCCAGCTCGTCCTGCGCCCCCTTCCCCCCGGGACCGACGTTCGCGTTGTCCGAGCTGTCGAACGAGGGGGGGTAGCCGAGGTCGGCGGCGGCGGCGTCAGTCTCCTCCGACACTCCTACAGTGCGAGCTCTCGCCTGCGCTCCTCCCTCGACTTTATACCTCCACTTTTCAGCAACTCGGCCTGCGGCGCCCACGAGGTCCTTTGGGGCGCGGCGAGCAACGACACCCAGCCCCCACGGAGAGGCGTCTGCACGCGCGACGCGCCCGTGCCAGGGGGCGCCCAGGTCGGCCGTGCAAAAGGGGCAGCAGGTCGTGAATTAGCTGGAGCTCCTGTCGCGCCGCAGGCCACAGGGGCGCCGCCGTGGGCCCGGCGGCCTGAATGAATGCGTAGGTCGCCCCCAGCACGCACAGCATCTCTCGTCGAAGCAGAAGGGCCCACGTGATGTGGCCGGTGAGCACCCGCAACAGGAACCCGCTGATCAGCTGGCGGCGCAGGGCGCCGCGGATGGCCGCGCGGAGGCGCCAGATGTCGCGAGTCCGAAGGCTGAGCCAGCGCCCCTCGCGCAGCGACAGCCCCAGGAAGTCGCAGTCCTGGGAGGGCTCCTCGACGTCATGAACTGCGAGCCCATGCCGTTGGAGGTCGTCGGTGATAGCCTGCAGCTGCTCGCTCACGTGCTTTGGGGAGCCGCCAAGGACGAAGTAGTTGTCCACGTAGCCGGCGCCCACGACCGAGGATGGGTCGTCAGAGAGCTGGCAGCCGCTATGGCCGTCACGCAAGGATCAGGTTCTCGGGCGAGAAGCCGGCTCGGCACAGGGATGTCTGCAGCACCGTCTGGCACAGGTGCAGGGCCCAGCTGAAGCCCATCGGGAGCACCACCACTTGCGGGAGCAGGAGGTCGCCACCCCTCGTGCCGGCCTCCACGCATCCGAAGGGCATCAAATACTTTGCAGGGATCGGAGGCAAGGTGAAGAACTCCTCCATCCCAGCAGGCACCTGCATGCGGTAGAAAGCGACGTCCAGGTCGGCGGAGCCGATGCTGAGGCGAACGTCGCCAGCCTCGAGGCGGCCCCAGGCCGAGGCAGACGGCAGCTGGGTCCTCGGGGCCTCGATGAACGAGCAGTTGGCCACCCGCGCGTCGAAGATGACCCTCAACTTCCCATTCTTTTTAAATACAAAAAATATTCCCATGTTGCCCCGCCGCCCCCGGGCGGGAGACAAGGTGAGCACGTGGCGCTCAGCCATCGCGCCCAGGAACTTGGCATACTCTGCGGGCGACTGAACGAGGGCGGGGTCCGTGCAGGGCCCGCGCGGACAAGCCTCAGCCCGAAGCTGACGCGCCTCCTCCGCATCTCGAAGCATATGGCACCTCCACTCCTGCAGCGCGGCGGCGTCCCGCTCTCCAAGCAGCCCAAGGAGCGGCGCTGGGGGCTGGGACACATTGGGCCAAGAGACGAGGTCTGGCACGTAGGGAGTGGTGGGCCCGCTGCCGTCAGGGCACAGCGCGGACCCAGCAAGGAGCTCCCGGAGGGCCCCGCTGGGGTCGGACACGTCGTCGCGGTACTCGTCCGGCTCGGGGCCGAGGGCGGCAATGGTGTCCCAGATGTGACCGACGGCGCAGCGCTGCCCGGCTGTCGGAACGGCCGACTCGGGCTAGGACTTGTCACCGTATAGGTAATTCAGTGCATGCACGGCTGCGTTGGCCCGGTCGAGCGCGTGCCCGAGGGCGTGGCCCGCCCGAGCGCGCCGCCGGGTGCGAAAGAGGCCAGGCGCCGCGTCGGCTGCTGTGAGCTGCGGCAGCGGGAAGAGGTTGCGCTGGCGACCGTCTTCACGCGAAGGGGGCCCGGCCTCGCCCGAAGTGCGGGCAGCGCTGTTGGCGCCCGCGGAGGCCTGGAGGAGCGAGGGCGGCGGCGGGCCAAGCCGACCGCCCTCCGGCAAGCTAGGCATCGCCGCCTGCGGCACCGGAGCCTCTGCCCCGCCGGCCGCCGCGGCCCCTGCCGCCCCCTCCGCGCCCGCCGCCAGGCTGGCCGCCGGCGAGGGCGCGCTCCTCGCGCGCCTTCCTCCGCTCCTTCGCAACTGCCATCTCTTTCTGCAACTCCGATGCGAGATAGTCGCGAAGGGCGGGGCAGACACACACAGAGCCCGCGAGCTGCGACGTCCCCATCTTGGCCGACCTGTCAGCAGCCGAGGCATCGTCGGGCTCAACGAGAAACCGGTACTTCTCTTCCTGCACCTGGATCGAGCGGGCGACGAGCTCGAGGTGGGCGAGGTTCGTGGCGTGTTCCTGGTCGTAGGTAATGGCCGTCTCGAGGACGACGCAGCCCGTCTGGTGGATCTCCACTCCTGGATCGGCGGGGTCAAGGCCCGTCTCCGCCAGCCACCTCTGATGATGCGCCGTCGGCGTGCCGCTCCGCTGCGCCATGAACTCTGCCACCCACCGCAACGTGCGCGGCCCTCGCACGGGCCAGTCTGGCCAGGGGAGCTCGGTCATCCGGGTGACTGCGGTGCGGAAGTCCACATGACGGACCCCGCGCGCATCGACCACCACGCCGAAGATCCGGGCGTCGCCGCCAGGTCCAGCCACAGCCGGGGCCGCCGGGGCGCCCGCCGCGGGAGCTGCAGCCGCGGCCGCGGGCGCGCCGGGCGCTGCCAGGGCGGCGGGCGCGACGGGCGCGCCAAGGATGGCCGCCGCGGCCCCAGGCCCGGCTGGCGGGGCGCCCGCACCGGCGGCAGGGGCGGCGGGCGCTGCCACGGGCACCAGGGCCGCTGGGGCGGCCGCCGCAACGGCCGGGCCGCC